AAATTTATCTAATTTTTTTATTTAAATTTTTATGTTTATTAAATTATCCTACACTCTAAGTGTCGTTAGACGTTCATAATTTGCATGTGTGGAGTGATGAGAACCTTAAAGAAACACGATACTAATCACAACACCTTATAGCTACAGCAATTAACATCTTGTTTTCATCACCTAACTAAACTCAAAGTTTTAAATCCGCGACACTGCTAATTAAATCGATATGCACAGATCTGCAAATCATGCCATTTTTCTCAAGAATGGCTTTCTGTAGGCGATTTTCTCAAGATCCAATTTTTTTTAAATAAACCCATCTTATGTTGCTGTCCGCCGAGAAAACTATTACCCATACATCGATGTGACTACACTTTAAGAAACAATAGCTATAATAGTCCAAATAAATGTACCAAATTTTAACGGGATCGGTAAAAGGGTTATGAAGTTATTAATTAAATTAGTTTTACTTTTGACAACTTTGAAGGCTTGTAACTCAAAAACCAAAAAGATTTAACTTTTGTTTCGTAGATCGTCGTGAATATGCAGTTAAAAGTTGTCGGTGAAATTTGCGGACACCCTGTATATAAATAATAAAATTTGTGTCTTCCTTTACCTACTGCAACTTATACAACCAATAATACTGTAAGACTAGCCTTAGATTAAGCTACCCCTAAACTCTTATTAGTTAAGTGGATAGAACAATCTTATTCGATTGGTTGAAACACAGCCTTCCTAAACTACGCGGTTAACAAAATACTATTTTTTTTGTCTAAATATAGTCCATTTACATGTATTTATTCACAAAAGTCAATTTCAATCGGAACATTTAATCTTATAGTTAGGTACCATTATATCCAATTTATATTTTATTTCACTAGATTTTATAGTTTCACGGCAAATTGCTCAATGGGTCACGGTTCACTTCATCCTGCAACTCAGTGGCCTCTTGCTGCAAAAATCCTGCATCTTAAAGTTACTGCCTGCACTCTATTAGAAGTGACCATTCAATCAACGCGATTGTAACTGTGACATCGATATTTTCCCGTTTAATTACCAGCCATGATTCGCCGATTTATACAATGACTTCTCTTGTACACCCGGGACATCCGATCGTTCGCTTTATTAACAAAATCAACTGCCGTGGGGTATATCAAATCGCAGACAATCTCATTAAAATTATTGTTGTGCATCGTCAATGTATGAGTCCCGAAATGAACAAAGTAGGTGCCCATACAGCAAATTAATACTCTAAAAAGATTTTTAAAATATTATTACTCATTTGTTACGACGTTTTTGAAACATTTCGAAACATTTTTTAAACGTTTTAAAAATGCCAAGGCCATATAATCATTTTGAAAATACTAATTCGATTGACATAAATGCAATTTAAGAAACAAAAATAAAAAACTAAATACCCTACGTTGTAAATTATATTTGTTCTAAACATCTCACATACATATTTAATATAATAATAAATAGTATATTTAAGAAATGCAATTATGTACAAGTACATATATCAATTATAAAACATTATTTTTAACATTTACTTACACCTGAACTAATTTTTGAAGCGCGAAATATATACATGCAGTTACTAGTTAGGTATATTGCAAGTAGGCACCTAAAGACACTATTTGACACCTGAGACATACTTTTGAAAAATTTTTGTAACTATTATAGAACGCGAAATGGTACTTTTGCGTGCAAGCATTTCGAATTCGAGATGCAAACAATATTTTTTCGAAAACTGCAATAAAATAAGACAATTGTGTCATATACAACAATTTAATTTATATTTGAAAGCGTTTGATCAAGAGGGTTTAGGCGCGGTAACTATCATAAATAAATAAATAAATAAATAAATAAATAAATATTTGTTGTTTGAAAAAGTAGTGTTAGAATTATATATTGTAATTCAATTTATAAGAGTTTTTCATTCAAAATGAGTTCGGAAGGCGTAGGCAAGCCAGGGGAAGTATTGGAAACGGCACAAAGTATATGCCGTTCTGATGAGTTATGCAAACTTATTTTGAACGTCAATTTAAAAAATTTCAATGACATTATTGTAGTTACAATTCCAGATTCTAAAAATATGGTATGTCATGTACGTTTGCAATTACTTCTCGTCTGGGTTCTGTTTCTCACTTAGAAATTCTCATAGAAATATATATATATATATAGATTAGATTGGAAATTAAAAGTGAAATTTCACGCTTTTTCATGCGCTATCAAGCAGGTAGATGTTACAACCAATCAGTCGGTAAGAATACCCTTTCTATGATTCCTAATAAGATTGCACAGTTTTTGAAACTAGAATATCCTGAAACATATACAGGCCATTCATTCCGAAGAACATCGGCAACGTTACTGGCTAATACAGCAGTTGATGTATTAGCAATCAAGAGACATGGTGTGTATAAATCAGCCACAATTGCAGAAAGTTATGTTGCTGACAGTTTAAGTAACTAACATGAAATAGCCAACAAGATTCTTTACAATGACAATTCAACTCCAGGTTCTAGTATTACGTCGCATCATGCTGTTTTAATGGATCAGTCAGATAATATTGAGCCTCTGGTGACTGAAATGGAGTGGTCGAATCATTTTGAGAAAAATGTGACAATTAGTAGACGTGAGGGGAATAATTATCTAGATTTTATAAATATTACTAAATATAATAACTGTACAAGTACTATAAATATTTCATTCATAATAATTAAGAAAATGTAATGTTCATCAAATATTTCTATTTTATTAGTTCATAAAATATGCATTTATAACTTGAAATCGATTTTATCCCTAGGGAGGTAAGTTACCTCACTTACCTCCCGTTGTCCATAGCAATATCCACTTCTACGGTAAAATCTACTTAACCTACCTTATTAATAGTCTATTTGCTATAGTGGGAGCAGATAAAAGTATTCTGCAGCTAGGTGATAATAAAGACTCACTTTGTCAACTGAAAATTGATCGAAAATGTCGCCTTTTGATGACAGCCTTCGAAAAAGGTAAGTATTTTATCTATTATAACTTTCCATTAGATTCTAGTAACACTAGGTCGTTTTTTGTCTCAGCGATATGGACTCTTTCTATAGGCAACCATACATACAATTAGGTTTGAATGATTGATCTACTAGAACAAAATTATGTTTATATCAGTAAGGAGTTGCAAAACCAGATAAATCCAAAAGAATGTTTATAAAAAAAAAACGAATAAATCCAATAAAACTGATATATTACTGATAAAACAATAGATCAATTTCTTTTCAAAATGAAATTGAGGACCGTTCTAAGCACGTGTTTTGCCGAAAATAATGTTTTTTTTAGTTGAAGTTTAATTTAGTTCTGGTTTTTGATATTAAAAATTGATTTATTTAAATTCATCATTTATATTCTTTTATAGAAATAAATAAGTAGTTTAAGATGTGATTTTATTATTTTATATTACCACAAAATCAAATAGAAAATGCAATGTTATTAATTGTAACAATAAATCAGAAAGTTTAATAGGACGGATAAATACTTTTTAAATATTAGCATTATTTAGTAATACTAAAGGATGAAAATGTTAATTATGTAGTTATTATTAGAGATCGAAAATCTTTTATATAATTTTATTCAAACAAAAACTGACATAACCATTGCCATCTTATAACTGAACTCTTCGTATTATGTACGTAAGTACATATTTGCATAGTAGTATGAAACAAAAAGGGGCATAGTCTATTTTTCTACACTAAACACATGGAATTTACCATAAAATATATAAGTATAGTACGTAGTAATATGTATCACCAAAAATTAACAAAAATAATAATTTTCTATTACGTCCGTACGATATTTGTTGACATTGAATTTCAAGAAGACCCCTGCTTCACTTTCTTGGAATTAACCGCATGTTACGTACCTACTATGATCCGCACGCACGCCTTTGATGCGCTACAGCAAAACGGCTGTCATAAATAGAGCTCGGGACTCGGTCGGATGATCATAGCCGTCGCGTCGGCCTTTCGCTACAGCGCAAAGTACGAAACCGGTAATAAAGGCAGTTATTGGCTTCGCGTTTACTTCTTGTATAAGTGTTTTAATATTCTATTATTGTAGAACGCGCCAAGGGATGAAAACGGCCTTTTGCTGATATAGTACGCAAATTTATTTATTTTTATTTGTTTACAATAAACACGCCGATACTAGCTGATGAAAACCCTAAGCTTTAATGATAAAACTGGTATTTATTAGTTGAGCTGTCATAATCGGCCCGCTAGTGATGGGCGCCGTCAATAAGATTTCCCTGTAATCGAACGATTTCTTTTACGATTTTAGTTGTCTTTTGATGCAATTATGTCCAGCGCAGTTAGTGCTAAAAAACAGCAAATAATTCATACTATACTGACAAAAAAAACAAGTTTACCGGTAAGCAACTATTCAAGTTCCATTTGATATAGTAAATAATAAAACATTTCATTCCTACTGGAATAAGTACAACCCCGAGTGGAAATTACCATGTCGGACCAGCTTGGAAGTAATTTGTTTAATTATATAAATATATCAGTAGATGTCGAAAGGTCGTTCTCTTCAGATTAAGATATTTTATCACCGACCGCCGCGAATAAGTTTCGCTGAAACAAAAGTGGAAACATGCCTAATGATGCGATCTATAACGGATCCTATCCAGATTGTGGTATCGATGGCAACGAAACCTAAAACAATTTACGTGTTTTACATGATACGGTGACTTAAATATTATAATCATTGTTCACTTTATTTTATGTTGATGATCCGCACGCCTTTTGGTGCGCGGCCTATTCTGACAACTGTATTTATAAGTCTCGTTAAATTATTACCAATTCTTTTTGTATTTCATCACATTTAATCTGTTATTTTTGGATTATTTAAATGTTAATTTAAATAAAATTTTCGAATATTCGAGAATTACGTGGAAAATATCTAATGAGGAAGAAACAGCGATTTAAAGGGAATGCTGATGTCTTAAGAAAAAGTCGTTATTAATTTTTGTGTTGTTTATTTTACAAATGGCAGTGTTTAATAAGAAATATGGGAGCAGAGAGATATTATAACAAAAAATAGCAGTGAAGGTGTATCGGATCGTTTTGTCGTGGTTTGACTAGAGTAAAAATTAGAAATTTGATGAAGGAATGTCAGACAAGAGTATAAAAGTGTAAAAATTTACGGACAAGTCCATCACTGCAAACTTAAAGCGAACACATAAATTACTCTAGAAATAGATAGCACCATAAATTTATTAATTACAAAAATATTCTCTTTAAAAGATAACTAGTATTACGCTTATGATAAGAATCATCACAGCAGGCCTGTTAAACTGTGATCCGCCTAAGAGTACACCACTGGCTTCGACAGAAGGATTTCCTCGTGTGGTATCATTACATACATACAACTTACCCTAAGTACTATACAAAAATCTTTACATGCTTTTTATTGTTACACAAACATGGCACGGCGTTATTAAAAAAGTTACAAAGCATACTATACAGTTTTGACCGCGTGTTGCTAAGTACTTGGTCATCCGTTTCTGTAGAAGTATCACGCTAGATGGTCAAGTACTTTCGCCATACAGGAACACTAATGGTTGAACACAGCTTGTCTATCGATGTGCCATTCCCACCAATATTTAGTTGTGGGTATGAGTAGGTACGAATTCGTGCGAATGCCACATCAAACATGAAATTATAAAATGATTTCCTAACAAAGTAGCCTAAATAAGTAACAAAATTTACGTGTTCCTAATGCAGACTTGACATCTGCTGATCCTATTTCTGACGTTGCCGGCTTTTAGGGTTTGCTTCTGTGGTTTCTCAAACTGTTGGTTTGTCTCGATTGTGGCCAGCCAGAAACTTAGGGTATTGGCGAAGTAATGGCAAGTACCCTGAGCTCCATTGCACTCTATGAAAGGCGTTGCTCTGAAGTCTTCCAGACAGGAACCTGGGCTGGACAATGACTGACCGCCACCTTCTGCTCCGGCAGCCGTATGCTAGAAAAAAATCAAATGGATTACATTCTGGTTCTGAATCGAGAAATATGCAACTTACCATGACAAAACTGTAACCGATCCAGAGGGAGCTCCAGCCGTAAGGACAATCTGGTAATGTTAGTGACTGACTGTGGACAGCGATTACGTTTGCCGGCGCCTCGCACACCACGCATCTTGAAATGTATTCCTCGATTTCATGTTCGGCTACTGGCATCATTGGAATAGCTGCGCTAGTTGAGAGCCAATAAGACTTATCATTGCGACTGGCGTAGTGGCACACGTTGTTGTAATCACAGAACACAAATGGCATGGTGGAGAATTTTCTGATGCAAGAGCCGGCGAAACCTAAATCTTGAGCGTGAGCTTTTTCATTACCCTCGACATATAGAAGGGAGAAACCCTCCCACAATCTAATGTGACCACTTTCGCACTGTGGTATTTCTCTGCTTTGGCTATGCCGTACCAGTAGTGTGCCTGTCAGATAATCTGGTACATTAGTGCAAGGAATACCGGGTTCTCCTTTTTGCCCAATTTCTCCAATAGCTCCCTGAAGACCAATCGCTCCTTCAAAACCACGGTCCCCTTTCTCTCCTACCAAGCCGGGACTTCCTGGTATTCCCGCAAATCCTCGATCTCCTTTTTCACCAACTTGTCCAGGTAGTCCCGGAATGCCGTCAATTCCTGGCGACCCTCGTTCTCCTGGAATACCTGCAACGCCAGGATAACCCCTATCTCCTTTTGGACCCGGAAAACCTGGTGGTGCTGGTTCTCCTTTTTGTCCCTTCATTCCTAGCGCACCTGGGAGTCCTGGCGTTCCTGTCAATCCTTCATCTCCTTTAATTCCAGAAGGTCCTATAGGACCTGGGAGTCCTGGACGCCCATCGAAACCTCTATCGCCCTTTTCCCCTGGTAACCCAGGAATTCCCGCCACTCCTGTTAAACCTCGATCTCCTTTTTCTCCGGGTGAACCTATAAGTCCAGGAAGACCCCTATCGCCTTTTTCTCCAAGGGGGCCCTCAGATCCATCAATTCCAGGGAGCCCTGGAGGACCAACGGGACCTACTGGTCCAGGTACACCATCAAATCCGCGATCTCCTTTTTGTCCTTGTAGGCCCAGAGGTCCAGGAGGTCCTGAAGGTCCCGTTTGGCCTGGTAATCCCTGTAAACCTCGTTCACCTTTTTCACCCGTAAGACCGGGAGCTCCTTCTCTTCCATTCTTGCCTGGGAAACCAGGGAGACCTTTTTCTCCTTTCACTGTAAGACCTGGCAGTCCAGCAGCTCCAGGGTATCCCGCATCACCTACAATATTTTTTCCGTTAAATCTATAGCGAACAATTACTTACCAAACAAATATTTATATTTATTCTAAAAATATTAATTTTTAATTTACTATTTAATTAAATTGAATTTAATGAGTGACAATAGTAAATTCTATATAGAACGAAAAATTTTAATTTTGTTGAATAATTATTTTCTTTTAATTACTCGGTACTTATTAATTAATCAAATGTTACCCAATTATATAGAGAATTAAAAGTCTGATATTACTTTTATCTACAGGTACTTTATACCCACCTTTGGGTCCGGGTATACCAGGTAGTCCAGGACTTCCTGCAATACCTGGAAGTCCTATATCTCCCTTTTCTCCAGGTAGTCCAGGTTGTCCTATATAGCCTGTGTCGCCTTTCTCTCCTGTTCTACCAATTAGACCAGAAGGGCCAGGTTCCCCTTTTTCACCCTTCATCTGAATTAATGGACCAGGGGGACCTCTTTCTCCAAAATCGCCCTTAGGTCCAGGGAAACCTACAGGACCAACCGGTCCTGGTGAACCTCTTTCACCTTTTGGTCCATCATAACCGTTTATACCGGAAAAACCTTTATCTCCTTTTTCACCTGAGAAGCCGGGCGCTCCCGGATAACCTTTATCTCCTTTTTCTCCTGAAAATCCATCCATGCCATCAATACCTGGTGGGCCGCGATCACCAGGGAAACCTCTGTCTCCTTTAGAGCCAGGAATGCCATCAAATCCTCTATCTCCTTTTATTCCGTTAACTCCAGGTAAACCATCTAGTCCTGGAGGGCCAGTATCGCCCTTTTCTCCAGGAATACCGGCAATGCTTCTTCCTGGTTGCCCAGAATCTCCTTTCAGACCTTGGAAACCACGTTGACCAGGCAATCCGTCAGGTCCACGCAAGCCCGGCATCCCTGGTTCTCCCTTTTGACCTTTCTCAGACACTGCGCCTGGCTCTCCTTTTCTTCCTGGTAAACCAGGTATTCCATCTTCTCCCTTAAATCCTGGCACACCGGGTGACCCTGGCACTCCTGGAGGTCCAAATGGACCAATGTCCCCTTTTTCCCCCGAAAAGCCTACTTCTCCTGGCATGCCGATCAAGCCTTGTGGCCCTATAGGTCCTGGATAGCCTCTTTCACCCTTTTCTCCGATCAGACCTGGAATTCCATCCATTCCGGGAGCACCTGGTGCTCCAGGACGCCCTAGACTGCCTTTGAATCCTTTAGGTCCTTGACCTCCTGGTATACCATATTCTCCCTTCGGGCCCGGGAAGCCTGGCAATCCTGATCTTCCAATTTCTCCCTTTAGACCCGGTTCTCCTTTAGCACCTTCTGGTCCAGGCCTTCCAGGTATACCATCAATTCCCGGAGGTCCAAGTGGACCAGGCTCTCCCTTTTCTCCTGGAGGGCCAGTCAAACCATTAAGGCCTGAATTTCCAATATCTCCTTTCTCTCCCATTATTCCAGGAAATCCGTCATTGCCAGGAGGTCCTGTTTTTCCTGGGAATCCTGGAAGTCCTTTTTCTCCCTTTATACCGATTGGTCCTGGAGGACCTGGAGGTCCTATTCCAGGAATACCCGCTTCACCTTTCTGCCCTTGCAATCCTCTTAATCCAGGTAGGCCGGAAGCACCGTCTCTTCCCGGTTCACCTGGGAAACCCATTGGACCGACTTCTCCCTTATCCCCTCTAGGACCTGGTAGACCTCTTTTTCCTACTGGTCCTGGAGGTCCCAATTCACCTTTAGGGCCGGGGAAACCAGGGCTACCTGTGTCTCCTTTGAAACCAGGTTCACCATCTCTTCCCGGGAATCCGGCTATACCCTTGTCACCTTTCAATCCTTTACTTCCTTTCTGTGGAGGATATATTGTATCTAATGGACATCTTCCCGGTTCACCTTTACGTCCCGGATACCCAGATACTCCTACTTCCCCTTTGTCTCCTTTCAAACCCATCTCTCCGATGTCTCCTTTAATACTTATTCCCTTTTCACCTTTCGCTCCCGGTATACCTGGTTCACCAGACCTGCCGTCCAATCCTGGGAAGCCAGTGTAACCTTTGTCCCCTTTAGGTCCTGGTAAACCTGTTAGTCCAATTTCGCCTTTGGGTCCTATTGGTCCTGGGAGTCCTGATGGACCTGGTGGCCCTACATCGCCCCTTGCTCCTGGCTCACCCTTCAGAGGTCTTTTTAGACTCTCAGGTATGACTGCATCCTTTCCTGGGGCTCCCGATAATCCCGGAAGACCGTCATTTCCATCGCGACCCTAAAAAATAAATCGAGCACAAAATTTGAAATAGTACTCACAACTATGAACAATTCCTTATTTATTAAGACCGTTATCACAAAAATAAAATAATTTGCAAAAAGGAAACTTACTGGTTTGCCTGGTGGTCCGTCTCTTCCAGGTACCCCGTCTTGACCTGAAAGTCCCCTAAATCCTGGGGAACCAGGGGGTCCTCTTGGTCCAATGTCTCCGTCTCTTCCATCGAATCCTCTATCACCTTTATCTCCTTTTACGCCAGGGAGGCAGTCGATGCATCTACCACCAATGTCTCCTTTTTCTCCTGGTCTGCCCGAGCTTCCGGGGATGCCTGGTCGACCAGCGTTACCCTTTTCTCCCTGAGGTCCAGATGGTCCAGTAAAACCAGGTATTCCATTTAATGCATCTCCAGGTGCTCCTCGAGGGCCAGAAAAGCCTTTTTCTCCTTTTTGACCCTTTTCTCCATCTCTTCCCGAATCCCCATCCTCTCCTTTAGGTCCCTAATAAAACAATTCATGCAGTTTAATGTATTCCCTTTTATTTAATATTTACTAGGCTTGTACACATTGTATAGAGGTAAGTAGTCATTATCTACATTACGATATTTTACCGGAAAAATCAAAACTCCGTACGAAAAGGCGTATAAGGCCTTTATAAATTGATGGGGAAAAAAATTAGATCGAGAAGTTCATTTGTTTTATTTTACTGAGAAATCCCAAAAGCTGGTCTCTTCAACCTTACGAAGCTTATACACAAGTATATGCTGGCCACAAAAGAAAATGGGCATTAGTTCTTCAAGCTAATAGCATTTATGAAAAAAATCTATTGATTATATGCCAAATAATTAAAACCTTTCTGGATAATGCTACCGACAGAGAATATCTTAAGTTTAAAGTATACCAGAAAGAAAAAACAAAGTTAAAAGTGGTTACAATGATATGATAAGAAAACAATGTTGCTCGTCAAAATCAAAATAATGATTCCGAAAGAGATATTCAGCTTCATAGGCCAAATCAACGAAAAAAAGTTATAAGCGTGAATTTACGTAAAAATTGTACAAATTACCAGCCTGTAAACAATCTTCCCCCATTTTTATGACTGTGGATACTAATATGTTATTATACATAATATTTAGCATCTATAGTGATAAATTCAGCTTGCCGAAATAAAAAGTCGTGCCCAACTCTATATTATCTGGCCTATTTACAAAAGTTATTTACAGCTAAGGCCGTCGAACACCATCTGTTTATATTTTATAAATGTATTCAACTCAAATTGCAGCGACGTATTCTGTGGAAAAACTTTTTATTTACCATTATAGATAATCCTTTTTCTCCTGGTAATCCTGGTGCGCCTTGAGGGCCAACGGGTCCAGGAAAACCTCTTGCTCCATCACTTCCAGGGAATCCTATCGAACCAGATTCTCCCTTCTGTCCTTTTTCTCCCGGAACTCCTTCCGGTCCGGGTGTTCCGGGAAGCCCAGGCCCTCCCGATGGTCCAACTGGACCTCTGGGTCCGGGATCTCCTGGGAAACCATCCATGCCTTTTGGTCCCATTGGTCCAGGATAACCGCGAGGGCCTTGCGGACCAGGCGCCCCAGGAAAGCCTTTTCCACCTCCTGGTGGCCCAGGAGGGCCTGTCAATCCTACTAAACCCGGAGGACCGTCTCTACCAGGTTCTCCTTTTAAACCTGGCCTTCCTGCTAACCCTGGAAGACCTTCCAGACCTCTATCCCCTTTTTGCCCGGGGGGTCCAGGTGGTCCAGCAAAACCATCTCTTCCCTAAGAAGTAAAAGGAGCTTAATTATTAAAATAATAGAATTATATTCACTTACCCTAGGTCCAGGCGCTCCTGGTAAACCCTTTTCTCCTTTCATGCCGACACCACCAGGTATTCCATAATCTCCATCGGGTCCAGGTTCCCCCTTTTGTCCTGGTAATCCAAATTCACCTCTGTCTCCTTTCATTCCCTGTTCTCCCCTTGGTCCAATATGCCCACCATTGCTTTTTTTTTCACCACACGCCGGTTCCCCCGGTGCTCCTCGAGGACCCGGTACTCCTTTCTCACCTTTTGCTCCGTAAAATCCGACCCCCATAGACCCTTTCAGACCTTTAGAACCAGGTGGGCCTCGCGGACCCTAGTTAGATTACACAATATCACTAGTAATTCATTTTAGAAATAACACTATCGTCACTTACCACATCTCCTGGCGATCCTTGCGGACCAGATGGGCCTGGTGGACCAAGAGGTCCAGGATGACCAGCTGGACCAGTGACTCCATCTCTTCCAGGCTCTCCCTTTTGACCTTTCAAATAGCTTTCGCAGTGGGCTGCTTCTCCCTTTTGTCCCTTAATTCCAAATGTACCAGGGTAACCTCTTGGTCCCGGTTCTCCTGGCAGACCATCGATTCCAGGAAGACCCTAAAAAAGAAAAAAAAAATGAATTGATGAACGCTGAAAATAATTTTATGCATACATCAGTGCCGTTACAACCGTCCAAGCCTGGTATACCAGGAGGCCCCGATGGCCCTTGAATGCCAGGAATGCCGTTGATACCAGGAAATCCCGGAACACCGGTTCTTCCTCTTTCACCTTTTGGGCCACGCGGTCCCATCGGGCCTTGTTCCCCTTTTGCTCCTTTTTCCCCCGCTAAACCTTCCTCGCCGGGAAAACCACGGTGTCCCTTATCTCCGGGTATACCAGGTATACCAGGGAAGCCCTGTGTGAGAAAGTACGAAATTTAATAATGCGACGTAAACAGATAATAAATTCTGGAACTGTATACATACGCGATTTCCTTTTTCAGCAAAACATTTCGGTATGCACTTATCGCTACCATTTCTTATACCATAAGCGCTTCCGGGTGCTTCGACTATATCATAACTACTAGCGTAGGGCCTGCGGTTTTGATAAGGACTACTGTCATATGAGCCATAGGGGCCGGACGATTGGCCTGATTGACTTCCATATGATCCAGACTGACTGCCATATGAGGCTGATTGACTACCAGATTGACTACCGTAAGACGATGATCCAGACTGGCCACTATACGCAGCTGATCCAGATTGACCGCTGTATGACCCCGATCCAGATTGACCGTTGTATGACGCCGATCCGGATTGACCGCGATATGACGGCGATCCAGATTGACCGCCGTATGATGATGATCTAGACTGTTCATCGTTTGATGATGATCCAGATTGGCCGCCGTATTGGCCATCCAATGATGCTGATCCAGATTGTCCACCGCTAGACTCATAGCCATACGATGACTGCCCAGAACCCTGTGACAAATTTGGTGAATTTGTAGAATACTCCCTTCCATTTTCCCTGGAATTGTAAAAAAGAGTGGAACTACTACTGGATGAATCATATCTTGTATCGACATCTCCAGATTCTCCATATCCTCTTTGAGGCGTTTCCCTTCTCTCAGATGACTCGTATCCACCTCTGGATGATTCATATCCATTAAGAGATGAGTTGATGTTCTCGGACTCGATGGGGTCTTGATCTCCTCTGAATTCAGTAAAAAATTAACTTTTTAGATTTTATAACGCTAAACAATAAAATATAACGTTTTAAAATATGTACAAGGTTTTACATGGGTAACATAAAAAAAAGGAAAAAACATAAATACATTTTTTTTGTAATCGCTTCTGTTTCCGAGATATGATGTGTTAAAATGATAACTGCTAATTTCTACTATACATATACTGTATATAGTAGAAATTTGGAAAGCTGGCATTTTAAGAAGGATCGTCTACTACTAATACGTATGTTCATACATAATTACCATTTTCCGAGTAAACATAATGTCTCAGATTTCTTTTTTTTTTTCTAAATTTATACCATTTTTAAATATGGTCGGAATGGTCAAGAATTGGATATTTCGAGCTATGGACAGCGTATTCCCGCGAAAAATAAATTCAAAGTTTAATTGACTCAAGATATGAAGGTTACTGACCACTCAGAACGCAGAGAGGTCGTTGAATGGGTGGGTGATGGAACAACAAGTGGATGCTGCCTTCTTGTACAAAATCATCTTTAGCGGTGAGGCTCAGTTTCATCTTTATAGCTTCATTAATAATTGTCAAAATTGTCGTATTTGTGGTTCAAAAATGCGCGAGGGATTGTCGAGAAACAAATGTCACTGTCTGGTGGGGATTTTGGTCTGGAAGCATCATCGGACCATTATTCTTAGAAAATGCGACTGGTCAGGCAATAGTAGTTAATGGTGCTCGCTATCGAGACATGATAATCCAGTTTTTTTGTGCCTAAATTGCAAGATATGGATGTGGAACGACATGTAGTTTCAGCAAGACAGTGCTACATGTCATACAGCCCGAGAAACGATTCAATAACTACGTGAGTTATTTCCTGGTAGTGTAATTGCCCGTTTTGGTGATCAAGATGGGCTGCCCAGATCATGCGACGCCGTTGGACTTTTTTCTCTGGGGTTTTTTGAAGTCTAAGGTTTATGTCAACAAGCCCACGACAACTTACACCTTGAAGGAGAAAATTGAGCGCTGTATCGACGGAACTCAGCAGCATTGACGCAAAACGGTAATGGAAAATTTCGACTAAAGTGTGCATATGTGCTAGCAATGCCGTGGAGGTCATTGACCCGATACGATATTCCGTACATAACCCTTTATACTTTATGAATCAATAAAAAATTCAACATTTTTAATTATAAATCTGTTTTTCTATCAAAATTCTATGAAATACATTGGTTTAAAAATTTTTTTATTGTTGTTCTTTCAGCTAACAAATTGATATAATACGTTTTTTTTTCATGATTAATATGTACGATATGTGTATTGTTGGCTGGTGACTTTTCGCAAAACATCAGTTTTCCAAACTTACTTACTGTGGTAGAATGTATAAAGGAAACTGATTTAGTAAGAACTATTTTCTTGTATTTCAGAAACAAGCGATTAGGGAAAACAAAAAAGTTTTCATTTTATTTGCGGCGGTAAACTGTTACAGTAGTTCCTATAACAGAATTTTATTGGCTTATTCTTTTCTTGGGATTCTAACAACAAATATTGTACGGACTGCTGAAGAAAAGCCACATAATAAATTTGTATCTTCTTTTTATTTAATTTGTTGGAAATTACCTTTGGTATTCCTCCCTAGTTTCGTACGTTGGATGTTCTTGAGGATTTATGGAATCTGCATCCGAGCTTCTATAGTAGCCAGGGGGCACCCTCGAACCACCCCGATTATGGGCGTTGTAGTATCGTGCTCGTTCTCGGTCATAGTTTCTTCCATATAGTCCTGTTCTGTTCTCTGCAGTGTAACTGCTGACGAATTGCTAAAAATAAAAGGTTATTAATAAAAGAAAACTAGGAACTTGTAGACTTGATTATGTATGAACATTTTATGGACAAATTCTTAGAGAGAAGTACAAAATAAATAAGGAACTAAATTGTTGGAAACCTCCGAGACAACAGTAAGTAAATACCAAAGTTAGGGTATAATAGGCGAGCGGTTCACCCCTAAAAAGATGCTTCTAAATGAAGGTAACCGACTAAATTTTTAAAACAAAAACCTACAGCATGAAACTTTTTTTATTTTATAAAGTGTATTTTTTTGATAATTTACATATTTTTTTTATATTTTTCGGCGTAGTCAATTGTTATAAACAAAAAAGTTGTAAAAAAAATTACTCGCCGAATGGCTTTGAAAATAGTTTCTTTATTGTAAAATGGATTGAAATAAACACATTTTGTTCTTTGACAAAAATTCTAAAAATGCTTCGTTTCCGAGATATCTACAATTTAATGTGAAAAAAAGTGACGAAATCGACAAACTTTCGGAATATTTTCCCAAAAACTACTGAACAGAGTTTAATTCTAAAAAAAGCATAATAATCAGCAGATCTTCTACTTGTAAGACATATTTTTTTTGGTATAGGTCAATTATTTTATTCAAGGTCTAAAGCGAGTAAAAAAACAGTCTACAAATAGTGAAATTGTAACTGTATCCATTGACACATGGATGGATGGAAAATCGAAAATGATTGTTTGGATTTTAATTATTTCGAAGGAGAAACTGCGTTAGATATGCTTCAAAAATATTTTTGCTCATGTAGTAGAAAATGTTCTATGAAAAATTGTAATTGTTTGTCATCGAACCTGGAATGCTGTGCAGTCTGTGCGTGCTCAGGTGAATGTCAGAATGTTCCATCCGAAATTGATGATGAAACGCTTATTTCAACTCAAGAACTTGTCGAAAATTACGAAAAACTTATTATTTAAAAATTAAATCAAAAAGAAATTAATATACTTTTATTGCTCTTAATATTTTTGTAAAATAAAAATAAAATAATTATCCTANTGTTTTTCTATCAAAATTCTATGAAATACATTGGTTTAAAAATTTTTTTATTGTTGTTCTTTCAGCTAACAAATTGATATAATACGTTTTTTTTTCATGATTAATATGTACGATATGCGTATTGTTGGCTGGTGACTTTTCGCAAAACATCAGTTTTCCAAACTTACTTACTGTGGTAGAATGTATAAAGGAAACTGATTTAGTAAGAACTATTTTCTTGTATTTCAGAAACAAGCGATTAGGGAAAACAAAAAAGTTTTCATTTTATTTGCGGCGGTAAACTGTTACAGTAGTTCCTATAACAGAATTTTATTGGCTTATTCTTTTCTTGGGATTCTAACAACAAATATTGTACGGACTGCTGAAGAAAAGCCACGTAATAAATTTGTATCTTCTTTTTTTTTAATTTGTTGGAAATTACCTTTGGTATTCCTCCCTAGTTTCGTACGTTGGATGTTCTTGAGGATTTATGGAATCTGCATCCGAGCTTCTATAATAGCCAGGGGGCACCCTCGAACCACCCCGATTATGGGCGTTGTAGTATCGTGCTCGTTCTCTGTCATAGTTTCTTCCATATAGTCCTGTTCTGTTCTCTGCAGTGTAACTGCTGACGAATTGCTAAAAATAAAAGGTTATTAATAAAAGAAAACTAGGAACTTGTAGACTTGATTATGTATGAACATTTTATGGACAAATTCTTAGAGAGAAGTACAAAATAAATAAGGAACTAAATTGTTGGGAACCTCCGAGACAACAGCAAGTAAATACCAAAGTTAGGGTATAATAGGCGAGCGGTTCACCTCTAAAAAGATGCTTCTAAATGAAGGTAACCGACTAAATTTTTAAAACAATGCATATTTTTAGTATACAGTAATTACTGATAATTTCGTCGGGGTAAAAACTGATGCCGACGCCAATGGGCTTCAGATGCAGGTTGCATCGACGCAAAGTGCAGAGCCAGGTCCGACTGTGATTTACGGGGTGGAATTCGGCAGGTAAAGTTGAATGAACTGGCTGTGTAATGCTGCAATCAAAAGAGAAAATTGCATTTTGGGTTTCGGCCTCGTCGTCCAGTATAAAAATAGGAGTATTTATGTTCTTTATAATTGCTCATAAATGTGGTGACATAGTTTTTTAAAAGCTGCAGTTACTGAAAATTGATTCATTATTCCATGGCGAAATTACAAAAAAGTGGATTCAAGTGTGGCTTGGGTGGTCCGAGGAAATTGATTTTTGTCTTCCTGTGTGGCATGACATATTTTTTTACTTAAAAGGAATTGGTTTATTTTCTCTTTGTAAAAAACAATTTATTATGTGAGAGAAATATTATCTGAAAGATATAGGCAATTGTAGGAAATGTTTGATTCATTTACACTCAGGTTTTTGTTATAATTTAGGATTTACTTTTGAAGAAACTTAAAGTGGCCTAATCACATCTTTCCTTTATAAATATTTCAAAATAATTTTAATATAGGCACTAGTTCGACAAAATAGAAATTCTTAGGATTCATAATTAATAAAAACGTATAATTGGAATGGAGAAGGGCAACATATACCAGTACTAAAGACTTAAGAGAGTATAATCAGATTTTCATTATTAATCCACCACTAAAAAACTTAGATATTAGATTACGACCAGTAAAAGGAATGTTAAAACCTTTATTACCTTTTAAAGCTAGTTATAAAAACTTTAACAGCTTAACTTTATTTAGAAAATATCCGAAACTTCAACTTTTCCCTTTTACTTATAGTTAGTATCAGGGTTTTAAAAAAATATATTTTAATCTAAATATCATATGATGTTATTTTAAATAAAGTAACAAAGTTCGGATCAAACTCATATCGTCACTGAGATGATCAGATTAAAAAGAGAGTCCGCAGTAGATGTAACAAAGACAGGATACGTTAATACCGAGCGATCCAGAAGGACTAAAACTGACGTCACACGTAAATGTTACCAAAGATGTTAAAATTTACTTCCATTTGATCAAAATTACTTTCCGTTTTCTTAGATTTCCGACCACCACGATTCATAGACGTCCGTGCCTCCCATGTGTGCTTGTGTTGTATTTATTTGTGTTTTTATTTGAATTTACCGTAAATCTTTTAAATAAAATCAGTGTCTTTAAACGCTAATCATCTGTGAACTGTTAGTTTTGTGGTAAGGAAGCAAATACTGTAGGTTTCTTCGATATAAAGTACTCGAACTGTTTTAGGTTAGAAAATGGTATTTTCGTTAGAAGACGATAAATTTATTGTAGAGGCCTACTTCTGGAATGGTCAACGAGATGAAAATGGATGGAATTATTCAATCCATTCATGTTTTTTGCAATTCCAGGAAGAGTTTTCAAATCATAAGCCGCAGATTATTAACATTTTTGTTCAGCATGTTCGACGTTTGGTGACACGATTCAGAAATATTGGTCGTGAAAAGTTAAGTAAAGGGAATTCACCTGGAAGAAAGTCAGTTCTAACTGAAGATAAACTGGAGGATGTTAGAGAGAGTTTAGCAGCAAGCCCCACTAAACCTTTACGACAACTTTCAGCTTAGATGGGTAAATATTTATAAAATGAAAAATATGAGTATTTAATGTCATATGGTTCGGTACACAGAGCTGTAAGAGAATTACGTTTACATCCATATAACGTTTCCATCTGACCATCTTTTAGATATAATTGTTTTACCGATGAGGCCTGGTTTCATTTTAGTGGTTTGCTGGAAATCCACACGTGTTAGTGGAAAAGATTTTACATCCTTTTCAAATAAGTGTTTGGGTAGCCATTTCTCAGCGAAAAATAATAATTGTACCTTTATTTTCTTTCAAGATAGTGTTACTGCTGAGACAGACATGTTTAATCAACTACATGATGAATTTCACAATAGCTACTTTTAACAAGATGGGGCAACAGCACAGACAGCTAACACAATACTCGAGTTCCTAAGAGAATTTTATGACGATCGCATTGTTAGTCGAAGCTTATGGCCTATAAGATTTCCGGACTTAAAGCCCTTAGATTATTATCTCCTTGGAACATTAAAAAATTCCATATACAGGGTGGTCCAGATTTTAATAGACAAACTTACTTTTATGCCATTGAATTAATTGGTAATATGAATACACTCTTTTATTTTTGTCGAAAAGTGAATGGTTTAAGAGTTATGAGACATATTATGATGCGGTTTTCCAGATATTTAAAACAATTAGTTTATTTTTGTTAATTTCAACACCCTGTATCTCATAAACGGTAGTTTTCTGCATCTATGTTCATAGAGCAAAGTGAAGTTAATTTTTGTTATTTAAAGCTTTCCCGAAGTTTGTCTATTAAAATCTGGACCACCCAAATTTGTTTTATTTTTCCCTATTTCAACGCTTTGTTTACTTGAATAATATGTCTCATAACTCGTAAACCATTCACTTTTCGATAAAAATAAATGAATGTTTTTTCATCCGGAATATTTCAGACTATTATAAAATGTATTCATATTACCAATTAATTCAGTGGCGTAGAAGTTTTACTCTAAATAAGTAAACGACATCCTTGTTTCTCCGTCACTGATCTTTGAATTTCGACTATGTGCATACAAAACTAGGGGAAATATTTGAAAAAAATGTGTACCAAATTTGGATAAATTTGATAAAGCCGTTTTCCAGTTATTTAAAAAAAAAATGTTTTATTTTTGTTAATTTCAACGCCCTGTATCTCATAAACGGTGGCTTTCTGCGCCTATGTTCATAGAGCAATGTGATGTTAATTTTTGTTGTTTAGTAGTTTTCCGAAGTTTGTCTATTAAAATGTGGACCACCCTGTATATAAACCGTTTACACACAGTGAATGAACTAAAACCATAACAAATAAATTAGCTAATACTAATTACAGAAAATGAATTGCAAAATACAGAACGAAGACAGACATTTTGAACACTTATTGTAAATAAATTGTCATTAAAAATATTAAATATTTGTATTCTTAGTTTTAATATTTAAGTAGTTGGAAATTATAAAAAATTGATTACAAAAATTATTATTACTGGTAGGGACAGAATTTTGGTCAAAATTAAAAGTACGTATTCACTTTTTTAACTTTAAACTGAAAAAGCAATTATTATTTTAAATTTTCTTGTTCCTTTTATGTTAGAATATAACAAATTTTAAATCGATTTTTTATTCGCATTTCTAAATGTGAAAAGTAAACCAAAATTCACTTCAAAATTGAAAGGTTGCATAAAAAAACGAGATGGATAAATAATTATTGTTAAAAAACGCTTCTTATGTTAGTTTTGAGGTTAATGATAATAATATCTAAATCATTTTTATTTAATCCATTTATTTAGCAAATTTACAAACCCTTCAAATTAATTAATGCCAACATTCTGCTTTGTGTATTGTATTTTTGTGATTAAAATAAATATGTGACCCTATTGCCACTCCTATTAACCCGTCACTGAACGAAGTAAGTCATTGTCATTGTTGCCAATTACAAGGAGTGGAAATAATAGGAGAGCGGCACACTCGATCTCTCTGTAGTAGGGCAGGTATCTTCTGTGCAATAATTTCAAATTTTCTTCTTGTTCATTTTGTTTTATTTATTTAATTTTGTCCAGTTGTATCAACATATTTTATTATCGAGGGAATCAATCTACTAGATTCCGCACTATACCAATGCTTACCGTGGTCGGCACGTTCGATAAAAAAATTTATCCAACTAACCGCGTGGAAGCAACTTGCAATTTTCAGCCACCGTCCTGAAAAACCATCCTTTATCACAGTAATGCAATAACGGCTACGGCAAGCATTGAACCGCGAGATTAGCATTGTGTTTTTACGATTGTTGCAGCACAACCCGGATTACATCTCGGATGTGCATCTCGGCAAATATCTCTCGGGAGAATACGTTCAACGCGCCCATCTTAAAAACGTGACCAAAAGAGTACGATCTGATAATATAGTTATTTACTGGCGTCTTCAGAGCACTGAAAGGCATGAAACAAGAGACGTATAAAATCGGTTGTGTCTACAAGGAATGCGAAAATGTCGCTACATCCACAAATATCAATCGAACAGTCGTTGGCTTAATTTTTGGGCATGCACTGAATCAAGTGGCTGTCCTCATTGAACAGCAGCCCACATAGGCTTAAAGGCTACTTCTCACAGCCGAATTCATTGCACTGTCAAAAGCGTTGTCTGACTTCGGCAATCCTGCAAGTTTATGTCACTCCAGTCGAATTAGATCATAAAACCTGAAAAATCTGAAAAAATTATTTTCTAGTAGACATTTTATTGCACCTTATGACGAGGGCGGGGTATGTAGCATGATAATATCAAAAAAGTAACTCGAAATAAGTTACGCTAAGTTGGCAAATTGCAAATAAACTTTCACTTTTCTTTACTGTCCATCTAGAAATCTAGACTACATATCGGAAAATTAATTGTTTTATGTTGTAGGCAATTAAATTATCTACAATTTAAGGTTCAGGTTCCTTTAGGAAACAATTTAAAAAAAATTGCAATGTCCAACTGGGAACAAAGAGGCGTAGGTGTAGGTGATATTTATTTTTTTTTAATTACCGTAAAAATAAGCTTTATTTAATGCAAAAAGAGCGAATTCCCGAGCGGTTT